TAACGAAAATTTTGTAATTTTTGTCTCTTTTTCTTACCGCCGTCTCCGCCTGATCCACCGTCTCCACCGGATCCACCATCACCACCTGATCCACCAGAGCCTATGAATACAAAAACAATTGGTTTATTATTTGCTGAATCGACCATGTCAATAGTGTTTTGGTTAATTATCCGAATTGCAATGGAGAAGATCAAAAATAGATTTTCCAACGTGAATTAACCAAAATCAACGCACCAATACATATACACTATTGTATCGTATAACGTAAAGCATTATGTCATGTTATTGTAAACCAGAGCGTGTTATGAGCTGATATTAGCAGCACTAACTAACGTCAGCTGCCGACGAGTATGCGTTGCGTTATTTCAACGCATTTGCAGTATGTGTAAGTAATCATAGCATTGGATCGTTCAATCATAACAATGGATCGTTCAATCAAAATTTTATACTGCAACGCAACGCTCACTCGTGATTTCAGTAGCTGACGTTAGTTAGTGCTGCTGAAGTAAGCTCATAACACGCTCTGTCGTTAACAAAATGTTGGCAACTCCATTGGAATTCTATTTCATCACTGATTCATCATCTTATTTTTAAGCGGCAAATTCAATCTTTCAAACCTGCTGGAAAAAGATAGCGACTAGGTTTGTAGTTCGTTTGATGTTCTACAATAATGCTGAAGACACCTAATCGTTATCTATTTCCAGTAACGAGAAAAATGCAAAAAACGTCTTTTCCACTCAATGCTGATCTGCCAATTGTGTCACTTTTGCTCGCAACTTTATTTGTCTATTTTTGCTCAGATTTTTCCGTCTCATTTATGGATAAAGAGCTCATAAGTTGTTCTCTTTTTCTATGGGTGTCATATGTTAGATACGAAAATAGATTTGCTGCATTGTCCAATACGAGAAATGTTTTCGGTAGCAACGCCTTCGATTTCAAATCTTATTGTATGAATGTACAAGCGAAACACAATTGATTTTGATTATGAATGTCAGTCGGCGACATTATTCGTATGTTCAAGTAAAATGAACTGACAAAAAATTTACTTCCGCAAAGCGTGACGGTTAACAGAGGTGACGGATAATGGGAGGACGGATAATCGAGGTTCCACTGTACAATTAAAAATAAAAATGTAACAAAGAAACAATATCGTTCGTGCTGAATTGGTTCCGAAATAAAGATTATAGGAACTAGTCAATTAGGTAAAAATAAACGAAAATGTACAAGAAAATTTAAGAGAAAATTATAACGTGAAGGGGTTTTAAGACGTTTTCCCCGCCAAGTTGTCTTCTGTATATACAAATAATGAACATTATGGCAATAAAGAATAAGAATAAGAATTGTTCTACCAGCTCTGAAGTTCCTATTCCCTCCGATAACACATGCTATCTCACTCACATTTACGTGCAAATTTTACCCGCATTATTTATTATGTTGTGTATAATGTTTAAACGCATTGAAAAAAATAATGGGAAATTACGTTCATTAACCTTCAAACCGTGAAACCTATTTTATAACGTTGTTCGTGAAACCGGTGCCTGAGTTCCCCAAGTGCATTTTTGTATGAAAACCAGAGTGTGATAAGAGATAAACGATTTGTGTCTTGAGGAAAGTTGTAGAGCATGTCAATTACTAAAATATTCTTGCAAACACTATTCCGTTATCTCCGATCAGTTCCGCGAAAAACCGCCAAAAACGCGAAAAACGCGAGATTTTCCATATCGTTTTTTACAGAACTGATGGGAAAAATGATAACATAAAAATCGCGTTTTTCGCGGTTTTTTGAGTAACTGATAAGAGATAACAAGTTGGTGTCTTCAGGAATGTTGTAGAACTCAACTTTTTCTACAGCTTTGCTGAAGACAGATTTCCCCTAACTCTTATCAGTTACGCGAAAAATGACAAGTAAAAAACCCGTATTTTTCGCGGTCATCTGCGGTTTTTCGCGTATTTTGCGCAACTGATAAGAGATGAGAGATATCTGTATGGGACAAAATTATAGAGCGGGATAAGTACTACAGTATTTTTGAAGATTTTATATCCTTATCTCTTATCAATTATGCGGAAAACCGCGAAAAACGCGATTTTTATGTTATCATTTTTCGCGTAACTGATAAGAGATAACAAGATAAAGTCTTCGGGAATGTTGTAGAACTCAATCTGTTCTACAACTTTGCTGAAGACAGATATCTCTTATCTCTTACCACTTCATTAAAAAATTAGATAAAAAAAATACGCGTCTTCCGCGTTTTTTGCATATTTCGCGGAACTGATAAGAGATAACGGAATAGTGTTTGTAGAAATATTGTAGTACTTGACATGCTCTATAACTTTGCTCAAGACGAAAATCTTTTATCTCTTATCACACTCTGGTTTTCATACAAAAATGCACTTTGGGCACTCAGGCACCCGATTCACGTATAGCGCATCACACATGCTTATGCACATATGTGATGACGTAGTATGCGTATGTGAGTATGTTAGCGCAATTCATGTAGTCAAATGTTCAACAAATCGAACCATCTTTGTGTAAATCATTTATGATGAAAAATGATAAAGATATAAGTGTTTAAAGTTGGTCTTGAGCACTCAGTGCCCGATTCACGGTTCTAAGGTTAATAACTTTTACAAGCGACATCCATAATATGGATAAAAATTGCACGCAAGTGTGAGTGCATGAATTTTCAGCTTCCGAGGGAATAGAAACTTCGGAGCTGGTGGAATGACGGCTCAATGGGAAGCCATCGATTTTTGTTCATAGACGTTTGAGGATGATGGATAGATTATTTTTGCCGAATTCCGTTCGAAAATACGAATTATTATTCGGCACTCTGAATTGTTCATACAAATTCCCCATGTAGACAATCGCAACACAGCCGAAAATCGAAAACAAAGTTGAAATTTTTTTTTCGATCTTGATGCAGTATGCGGTGAGAGCCCAATCCATTGGTGTTGACTCCACATCGAAATTCGCATTCCTTATCAGTTCGTTATCACTGGGAAGCAATTGTTAAAATAAAGGAGAATCATGCTATGGTTCACTTTTGTTTTCACTCTGAACATGTGGCATTTTCATTTCAAACGCATTCCACGTGCCTCTATTACTTTGAACCAACTTTATGTTAAGGTTTTATTTTATTAAAAGTTTGGAGGTCAAGATTATTCTTACCGATTAATTCATTGTTTGGCTAAACTGACTTTGTTATAGATAAAATACCCAAGATTTTGTCGACGTGAGACTCAGTAAAAAAATGAGAGTAGAAAAACTTGTAATATCTATGAATTAAGTAGGAACATCGAACTCTATTTTATTTCGATAGACATGTCTAAGTGTGCTTTTAAATGTAGAAATATCTTTTTTCGCTAGATGCGCGGAAATTCAAACAAAATGAAGTAAAGTCTGATATTTCTGATTTATTCGGTGGACGTCACGAATATTTCTCTATTTTTTTCAAACTGTGCACGATCTAAGCAGACATGTTTGATTTTCGAAGTGAAAAATGAAGCGAATACATTGGTAAGTGCTGAAGGAGATGACACCAAAAAAAAAATCATTGGTTTATCGACATTGCCGTGCTTAAGAAATTGAACTAAAGAACGTTTTAGCTGAAGATATTTAATCGTTTCTAAAATGTCACAGCGAGTTTATTGCTTCAGATGAGCCGTTCGACATGTGTGTAAAGTGATATAAAGTGATTAGGACGGTGTTACGTTATCAATACGCTATGGAGTTGAATCGAAAGCGTCGTATCGATCAAATATAATTATTGTTCTCATGTCCACAATTGTTTTCACCACAAGAGTACCACGTGTTTTATTCACTTTATTTAAATCTTACCTTCTGAATCATCCTGCTCGTCGCATTCACATTCAGTGTCTTCAAACAAATTAGATAGCCATTCGTTTCGACATTCGGATTCATCACAGGCTACTTGACCTGGTGCTAACACAATATCTTCAACTTCATCTTCTTCACAATCACAATGTGTTTCTTCCATAGAATAAACATGCTCTCGTTTGGCTGGTTTATTCCCCACAAACGTTCCTGATACAGCCTGCGGGGATAGCTACAAAGACAATATATGCACAGTTAAATTTACATGTTATTATGACTACTGATTTTTCTTTAAATAATATATAAATAACACGTTACAAACGCTAACGTTTGTTCTCAGTTTCGATATATTGATTCACATCTTCTTTTTTTTCTCAATCGAAAATTTTCACATATTCTCATGCACATCTTAATATTTTTCTTAATTTGATATAAAACAAAATTTACAGCACCTGTATCACAACCGTCGCTATTATCAATAAGACTAAGGACTTCATTTTTAAATTTCAAAAAAATGAATGATAAATGTGTGCAGTCGCCAGGGACTTATATACTCTTGAAAAAATCTGTCCACTGTTTGCTTGCCATTGATTGCGAATACGATTTTATTTTTGCATTGGCTGTTAATCTGCATTTCAAAATTCACGCCATACCTTTTTTTTTTTAAATTGGAATATAGATTATAGGTGTGTTGGTTACCACACACGAAATGCGATCCTCGTAGCATTTACTTGAAAAATAAAGAATAATATTGGAACTCATGCTATGCCATGCAAATGTTTTGCAATTCTGGCATTTTGCGAATGAAAGATTTTAGTTTTTAATTCGTTAACACATGATTCACCAAATATTCGATTTCCAATAGATTGATCTTCAATAAAAAAAAAGATATTCCATTCAAAACCGGGCGTTATTGAATTAGTATGATGTATTTCCATCGCCATCATAATGTTTATTGTCGATATTGTGTTAGTCATCAATAAAATGAAACATTAGAATAAAATCGCAAGGCCTAAAATCACGAAGATGCAGGCATATGGGACTCAGATATGGACACGGCAGAAGGAATTCAATAGAAAGCCATATTTAAAATGCAATAGTACTTATCCCCGATGGACTATACAAAAAAAATTATAACCAAAAAAGATCATTTGAAATCGATTCTATTCCTGAAAATAACAAAAATCAGATCTTTTTCTACAAATCTCTATATGTCAAAAAAGAAGTTACGATGATCTGAAAAAAGAATTTTCGTCTCCGTGTGTATATCTTGTTGGAGCTATAACCGTCAAACAAAAAAGAGGAATATTAAATAATTTACCCATCGATAAGAAATAAATTATTTCTGGAACCATGAAAAAGAGTCGAACGCTTCAATCAAAGTTTCAAAGCAATTTCTCATTTGTATGCAACGGATTCAAGTTCCACAGTTTTGCTTTTATTTCCGTAAGATTGCAATTTGATTTTTGGTGATTCAATTGACGCTTCTTCGTTTATTTTTATAGATCAAAATCAGATCGATCTTTACATTAATACTTCGCTTAACCAATGTACCGGTAAAAGGAATGTTGATAAAAGCATGATGATTGTATGCAAAATTTGCATTCCACTATTTTTATTCGTTAATTGTTTTCATTCCTTTGTTACTTACTCTTTCTCCACAAGCTGTGTATCATTAAAATATGGCTTACCTTTGATTCTTTCAAAGCATAACAAATCGTTGATTAGAAAAACGTCACAAGTACAAAAAAAGGTTCGACAATTTGACAAATTGATTTGAATGTAAGTTTAATTATTTTCCATTTCTATTTGATTGGTTTTCGAAACAGAAAAAAAATACATTGAAATATACATCATGAACCTAGAAACTAAAATTCATCGCATAAAAAATGCAGATCTAATCCAGTCATAAGAATGCAATTTGCTTTGCTGATTGGTAGAGAACAAATTGATAAAAGTGCTAAGACATAAATAAAAAATGATCAGAAATATAACAATATGGTATAAATCGTAGTCGGGTTATGGTTTTGAAATGCAATCGTTGCACGAGTACGTATTTTTGGACTTATATTGCATGGAAAAAGCATGAGTTCGTATTTTATTGGGATCACCTTGAATATTTGCTTCTTCACATCAGTTCATGGTGCTTTATTTCACCACAAAACGTTAAAATTAAAATGATTTATTTTCAAGTCCTCAACTACGTAATGCATGTGCTTACAAAGTTAAGAAATTTTCTTTTAAAAATAAGATAAGTATGTAAGTATGGTATTTTTATTTTTATTTTTATTTGCAAGCCTCGTTCTCAGATATCCAATACCATTGAGTTTGATTTGCGAAATGTCAGCACATTTCGTTAGACTGTTGATTCCTTACAATAATATTGTTAGTATTTTTTCTTTGTTATTTCATTTTTAGAATAGCTGTCGATCATAAACAGTCGTTCAGTTTAGTCTTTATTTTATCATGCATTGCACATTCCATCATAGGCGAACAGATTTCGCAACATGTTCATTTGAAGCATAATTCTCACTAGTTTATATGTACAATAAAGCAAATCGTCTGTGTTAGACTTAGCTAAGAATTGGTTAATGCCCTAATATTGCGCTCTCGAAAAGCATCAAAAATTTAAAGAAATGCATGCATGTAACGCAGTTGCGAATCCTAATTGAAATGAGTTTTAATTTAATTGGAAATCGTTTTTTTTATTCAATAATTTAAGAGATAATATACGATCAATTCACTTTTACCATCTCTCATACCCAAAGCGATGTCTAATTTTTGTACAAGCTAATATGAAATAGACGCATTGAGATGCAATAAAAGAAATGTTGAAGAAAAAAAAATATCTCACATTTCTCTAAATACTCTGAATGTGAAACTTTTTTTTTCATAAAATCTTTTGATTCATCGGCTACTGAATGTGTGTGTGTGTGTGTGTGTGTATGTATATTTTGCTGTCTGTACTCTGTGTTTTTTCTCGTTTCAAATGTATACAGTCAATTTATCTGAAGGAGCCTACTGTTTGTTCACCTGAAATCTGGTTTAATTTGCATTTTTTCTGTGTTCAAATTGCAAACCGTGCACGATATTAACAATTGAAGTAGAATTGAGGAAAATGAAGAGTCTATATTACAAATTAAATCCAAAGCAGAAACAGTTGCGAATTCAAATGATTTGAACGTGTAGTTCACGTCAACGCTGTATTTACTTTACACTTTGCCAGGGCATTAAGCTTTATCGTTTGTATCTGCAATGGATTTGGTTTTGTTTAGCAAACAGCTGATTAGCTTGAATTATAATTATGGGAAGTATTATTTAAAAATGTTCTCATTTCATTTGCCCTGTAATCGGCTACTGTTCGATTTTGGTTTTGTATATCTTTGAGACTGGCTTGATTAAATTATTGTGTCTTTTTATTGCTATCATTTGCGCATTGTACTGATGCATCACTCAATAGACTATAACCAATATCACAACCGTTTTCACTTTGCTTTGCATTCACATTCTTTGCATTACTTTCGTTGTGTGAATCCGACACCGATGTCATCGTTTTCGTCCGTATCTCATTGGTATGTGTCGATCCATTATTTTTGTCTGCCAAATTGTTGTGGGCCACATTTTGCAGCTGGCAAGATTGAATGTCTTTGACCTCTTGTCGATTTGCGAACGCACTTTTTTTCAGTTTAATCTCATGAATCCCTTTTTGTGGTGAACTTTTTTGATGCGTCGTTCCAGTTGTTTCGATTGATTCCGGCGAAAACATATAACCGAAAAATTTCGATACAATTGGGCATAAGAGCATTTGATGCATGCATGCTATCAGTCGATAGTTGGCGCCTTGAAATGGATCCAAAATGGCCGGACAGATCATATGATTTAAATTAACTTGCGCTGACTGAAAATTGAACGAAAAAAAAAGAAGAAAGAACCAAAGATGATTTAAATTTAGATGATCGAATACATGGGATGTGTATGTGTAATGGTTTCAAAGAAAAAAATATTTGTTTACCACTGCAAAAAACTCCAAAATTCCATAATGATAGAAAATGAAAATGCCATACGCTGCAATGCTGTAGCTGAGATCCGTCAATTTTTCGGCTGCATAAGGGCCTATTGAAATTGAATAAAAGAGAATAGAACAATGTACAAATTGTAATTGTTGAACAAATGTAAGCTTTCAAACCTCCATGTCGCAGTAGATAAATTGGAATCACAAACATTAAGCCATGTTGGATATAATAAGTGGGTAGCTCAAATGTGATTTTCCTGGATTCATGTTCGGGGAATAAAAATGCCAACAATGGTCCATTCAAATAGTTGATGTGTATCCGAAACAATGTCGTGGTCCATTTGGATGGTTTTGCTGCCAATAAATACACTTGAAGCATTGAAGTCACATGGCATGGATTCAGAATATAAATTGCGGTGCGTGTGCACAGTTTAAAGCCCATTTCTAGGCCCAACAAAAATGTCATGGTGATCAATAGCAATTGCTTGCCGAACACAATGCGATCGGTGCCAGTATAATTGATTTGCAATGGAGGGAGTTTTGACATTCCATATTTGAAAATACATATTGCAACGGGAATTAGAGTTAAACTTTCGGCAATGTGTCGAGTCGTTGTTAAGTAATTGACACATTCGAAACCCGTGTTGCGTGGAATGGAACCATTGACACCGTCATATGCCCAACCCCAGCGCATTTTCACAGACCCAGCTTATTCGGTATGAAGTGAATCAAAATGCAAATTTTGCGGACGTTCACCTATGGACACTCCCTTGATACTCTCGGAGTATTTTCCAACACGTTCACTTGAAGGATCCAAAAGAAATTACTGTAAACAAAAATAGAGACAAAAATTAATCAATTCATCTAGAAGAAATGGTTTCTGTTTCGCTTATGCAAATACACTACAAAAAAATAAGGTCACTTTATCATAGATGTTATCAGCGACGTTAGCAATGTTTAATCATTTACATTTAAAATATTAGATACGAAAGACAAACACAAAAATGTCAAGAGTGTAAGCGGTAATTTAATCGAATAGCGTGTTTAATATACCCAACAAAGAAAGTCTATTCAATATTCAATTAGAACCTAATAAACTGTTGTCACCTATTGTAAGTGATCAAAGCCAAAAAAAAACAACCACAGGGGACTTTTCGTAGACTTTCGTACACACTCATTAGTGCAAATTGAATATAATAAATGGAAATAGAAACCTTTCAAATTGGCCACTGCCAACACATTTTTATTCCATTGAATTTGATTATTCAGGTTAATGAGCTTAAATTTCAATTCTTTTCTTTCTTTTGCTTCGTTCATTAAACAAATCATCATGCGCTGTAATCTGATCGCCCGGAAAATGAAATTTCAACATGTGTGTATTTGTAAAATATGTGACATTTTGAATTTAGGATTCGCACGTTGGATATGTTGACATTTTCATTTGAGGTTGCATCTCGTCATCGCTTGTCAACCATATTTCTAATATGATGCACTAAATTATGCATAGGAATTGTGCGTCATACTTTTATTCGTTTGTGCAATTCAAGCGAGCAGCCACACGTTTCGATTATTTTCAGTGTACGTTATTTTTGTTTGTTGTTTCGAAAAAGAAGCAACAACAAAAGGAGATCGTCGTTTACGAAACGAAGAAAAAATCTGCGCATTTGTTCAGACATACAGAGAGAGTACGCACGAATCGTATACGGACGCTGCATAAAACTCGGTCGGTAACAAACAGCTGTACCACGCACCGGCATTGGATAAATGTACCCTTGGACTGAATTGAAAGGCATGAACGAGCTTATGAAATTTCATCAGAAAAAATGAACCATCTTTCAGACTGTAGTGTCATTTATATTTATTTCTCGTCGCCTTTATGAAATAAAGAAACTGACAACGGACTAGCAACAGCCAAAAGAACAGTGTGTTTCATTTTTTCGGTATCTCGCAAGCACTCAGTAATTCCACGCAATTCACAGCTCAACTGGATATATTCTTTACAATCGCTGCTTTTTTCGCAATGCTCGTGTGCGTGAGGGTGTGAGTATATTTTATTTTATTTCTGCGATAATTGCAAATTTTGATATTTGCATTTGGGACTACGTCAAAGTAAAACCAACCACCCATAATCACGGCTCATATGAATCTTTTGCGAAACCAAGCTCTTAATTTATTCACCTAAGATATATTTTCAAAAAGAATATAATAATAATATTGATCATTTCGATAAACAATCGAAAAATAACGAACCAAAGAGAAATAAATGTGTAGAAAGATCTTTTGTGATTTTAAAATTACTTTTACGATTTCATAATTGCTGCACGTTCACAGGATTGAAGAGAAAAAGTGAAAATTGTCATCACCTGTACGCGCATTGTAAAAAATAAAACGCACATTTTGTATTTCATGCACAATTTCAATAATTCCAATTTTAATTTCTTTCGCAAATTGCTCATGTCAACCGAGTGATTCGACGATCAATACAATGGGCAAACATATTTTATTGATTTTCTTGAAAAACGATGTTTTTTTTCTCGTGATTTGTTAATGTACATTTATAGTAGTAAATATCGATGATTGGGATTTGAACGATTTTCCAGTTAACCGAGAAAAACCCCATTTGTTGTCTAGTCTTCAGCGCATCAATGTATGTGAATAGAAAAATTAGTTATTTTCTACTGAAAATAAAATGAAAAGCGTCATCACATTTTTATGATGATTGATGTTTAAGCTTTGATAACATTTAATCCAGCGAACCAACTGAGAGAGAGGGAGAGAGAGAGAGAGAGAGATAATTCAATGAATGGCAATTACGTTTCTCTTAATTTGGTTTTTGCCATGCAGTTCGAATGCATAATTTTAATTGAAACTATTTGGTATGCGACTGATGTAGTCCATGTTATCAACACGTGTTTTTTCATAATGAATCAAGAGTTATTAATTGATTCCATTTTTCTTGTATGGATTTAAAAAAAAAAGTTGGACCATATAATGGGAGTCAATTAGTCTATGACTGCAATAATCAATACTGAAAATGATTTTTTTTTTTTGGTTGATACATTTTTCCTTGAAATCGAGAGACAATACTCATGAGCACTATTTACTAACTTCATACGAATACTTTTCATTGCAGATAATCGATATCTTGGAAAAGTTCAGACATGAAGTGCAGAACCAATGAAAAACAAAACAAAAATAAACAAAAAATTCAATGCAAAACTCAAATGAATGTAAAATAATGAAGCAGTCAAAATCAAGCAAACACAAATCAAGGAAGTCATTATATCAACACACAAAATATCTAACCACCGTACGTAAATAATAATAGTATGCTCAAAACGAGGTTGTTACATTTTCCCCACCAATACATGCACACACACACATATATACACACTGAGACGCTCACACAATATAACTACCGCGTCAATATGATGCATGGCAATCGTAATAACGAAAAATCCAAACTCCCCAAGCAAATCTGCACATACGGATATCATCACATCAAAACAAATCTCTATATTCTAATTGAAGAATTGTTTTACCTTGATTTGCAAATAGCAACCAATTTAAAAGAAAAAAAAAAGTGTTTATTGGAGATAAGTCACTTTGTAATCAGATCACAATAATAGTCCGTTTAGAGATGAGAATCATTTGGTCGTGTAAATTTTAACACCAAAAATTGCTTCAAATTCACTGACATCCCAAAACCAACAAACAACATTCCAAATAGATAGTTAAATTAATTACATAAATCATTCCCCCATAATGTTGGTGTACCGTTATCCCTTTTTTTCTTTTTCCGCCGTCGCAATGCGTTAATCTCCGAATGGATTTTCTTCTGCTGTTGTTTTTCCTAAACTACTTTTTCTATTATTGTTGTAATCAAACACTTTCAACGATGAAAATCTTTGTTCTTTTTGGTGTAAAACTAATCACTGCACTCTAAACAATGTTTGAGATATCGTGGAGGTTTTCTATTTTGGCAACGTGAATTGTCAAGAGCGTCGTATATTATTAGTTCACGTTGCACTATAGACTTTTCGCTGTGTCCTTAATACTAACAACATACGATTTACAAGTCGCGACTGTCGTCGTCGACGTCGTTATTGGTTAGGTTAACGGCATAATTTGGCAGTGTAGAATGTCAAGCCACACGCAAATGTTGTTGGTTGCTGCGCTTGTGTGTGTATGTGTATGTGTGATTAGATAGTTTCATTAGAGCTTGTCCAAGCGATGTTTTCGATGGTGTAATATTTGGTTGAACCCACAATGGGTGCTGTGTTATCCATATTTAATATTGCTTGCATTTCAATTGTTGTATTTTTTTTTTCTCAGAAAACCAATGACATGCACTATTCATGGCATTCGCTTGAAGCAGCTGTGTAGCGATTGCACAAACATGACGGTTTGCTGTCGCCCAGCGTGGATCATGTCTTAGCTAACGCACACTGACACATTTAATTTGACGATATCTTCACACTGTTAGTGCTGTACCGAACAGCTGTCAAAGCGAATTAGATGTTTGTTTTGATACACACGGTCGATGAAAAAAAAATTCGTGGTATCGACGACGCAAAACACAACTAAGACAACTTACAAGTAATAAACATGTTTTCATCATAGTTTTAATGTGATGTTAATATTGAATAATATTTCAACTTTGGCTATTCCACAGCGATAAATTGGTGAATGTGAATCGGTAGCATTGGACGTGTAATCAATCTGATCACCAATCAACAAACGCAAGCCATAATATCAACGACAATGAATAGTCCATCTTCAGAAGCTACTGTTCAGGCAATCAATCATGAAACCGATCGATATCCATTCTGTATCGTTTGGACACCAATTCCAGTACTCACATGGTTCTTTCCGTTCATCGGACACATGGGAATCGCAATGTCTAATGGTATAATACGAGATTTTGCTGGCCCATACTTTGTATCCGAAGATAATATGGCCTTTGGCAGACCAACCCGTTATCTTGTGTTAGATGTATCGAAAGTGCGCAATGGAAGTACACTCGAATGGGATGAATCGATTTCAAAGGCATCTGTGGTGTACGGTACACGTATGCACAATTTATTCTGGGACAATTGTCATTCGCATGTTGGCATGGCATTGACCAATATGAAATACGATGGATCTACGAAGTGGAATATGGTTCGTTTGGCCAGCTGGATGTTTTTCTGTGGGAAATATGTTAGTTTTGCACGAGCACTTCAAACGTGGCTTCCCTTTCTAATGATATTAGGTGTTTGTGCAATTTTCAGCTATTTTATGTAAAAAAAATCCGTTTTTAATAATTTGGACCAATGGAATCAGTCATTATAATGCATAACTATATATGGTTTATAAGGCTAATAAATCGATACAGAAACGCATCAATTCGAACCATTCGTTGGTTTGCAACACATTTTCAGTGCGTTACCAATTAAAACCTCATTTATGACTGAATTCATCATTTATATCGTTTACTTTCCTCAGAATTATTGTAATTTGAAGTCAACTAAGAAAACAATGATCATTGAACAATGCAATTGTACATATTGCAAATAAATCAAAATATTAGATATGAAAGTAATTTAAACCAAATTATACGTATTTTTATTAATTCAGATAAATAAATACTCACACTGAATGGAATGTAAGAGCTTCTTCTGTTCGAAAGAAAAAAAAATTGAACCAATTTTTTCATTTCATTTTTGCGACTTTGCGTTGTTCTTTTATCCAAAATGCGGTAAGACTCAGATGCTTTACATTTTTTTTTTTTTATTTAGAGGAGAAAGACGTATTCAATTCAAAGATCACATGCAGTTACTATGTGTTTATGTGATTTTCTCTTTTTGATTTTGTCAAAAAAAATAAACTTCTTACAAAAAGTATACAGAGCCAATTAAAAAGAGCCGTGGCTTTTATTTCATTTGTTTTCATTAAATCAAATTGGATCATTTGTTGTGGTTTTTAGTTTCAAGGCTAATGTGTTGCATCACATTACTTTGTTAGTCTTTTGTTTTCATATCTATAGGTGAGATTGAGAGTAGTGTATGTTTCACTGACTTTGCTATGAAAGAGAAGAGTAAGTTTCTTTCGGCTCAAAAATGGTTAAAGGCGAGTATGTTCATTTTTGGCGGGTCGTCACGGTTTTTTGCGGTTTTCGTGGAACTGATAAGAGATAACAACTTGGTGTCTTCGGCAAAGTTGTAGCACTCGAAGTCTTCTATAACATTGCTTAAGTCAGTTATCTCTTATCTCTTATCAGTTCCGCGAAAAGCGCGAAAAATGATAAGAAAAAAAAGTTCTATATAAAATTTGCTTTTTTTATGTGCGCGATTTGCGCGCAACTGATAAGAGATAAGAGTTACCTGTCTTCAGCATGTTATAGAAGACCTCGAGTGCTACAACTTTGCCGAAGACACCATGTTGTTATCTCCTATCAGTTGCGCGAAAACCATGAAGACCGCAGAGGCTAGACGGTACTACGACAAACTCTACTTTAACGCCAACAGAATCATCAGAAAACATAGTCGCCTTTTCAAAAATATAAATCGAAGAAAAAACATACTCCACTCTCAATCTCACCCATAGATATCTGGATTCTATTACATTTACTGGTTACAATAGAATCGAAAGACATCTATTGGCATCAATAGTATCCGTTTCTTTCTATCACTCGTTTTGAAAATTGTTTTTTTTTATTATATTTTCATTTTCTCATTGCAAATGTTCAATTCTTAAAAAACTACAATGAACGAAAAAATGGAAGAAAAACAAAAAATTGGTGGAACGTAAAAAAATGCACAAATTTTGTTTTTGTTTCGCTTTTATTGCAAGCCATCAGCGACGTAGATTTAATTTCTAAAACAACAAAACATGTTCATTTGATAGGAGAGAAATGCAGAGAGAAAAACGTGTAACGTGAACTAATCAGCACGCAAGTAATACATGTTTGTTTTTTCTTCTCTGCCATCTCGTTCATTTGGTTTCTCATTTTTTTTTAATATAAAAAAATGCACTTTTGTTCTAACTGTAAACTCATCTTATGCGCGGAGAGAAAATTTCGAATCGAACGAAAAGAAAAAAAAATTAACTTAATAATGTTACATTATTTTGACATCGTTATGTCGTCGTTGATTCACTATTTAAAATCATCATGTTTCGAAATGTTTGTAAATAGCCGTTACATATGCTAATACTTGCATCCAATCAGGACGTTCCTGTTGACACATGTTATTTATATTCTGTGGAATTAGAGAGAGAGAGAGAGAAAAATCACCATAAAATCATCGGTATGTAATGGAAATTAAATTGCAAATCAAAAAGTAAATTGACTAAACCAATCGAAATATATCGTTACGTACAAGAGTTGTGTGGATTCCAACACTTTCGGCGGCCTGAAATGCAATCGTGAAATTGCGACGTTTATCATGTGGCCCAAGAGTATCGTAGGGAATTTTATCTTTCAAATATGAATGTAATATGGCACAAAATGCCAGCCCATCGTTCCATGATGAACTGAAATTCGTTATGTCAATGTTCCGATAGCCAACTGTCTTGTTTTGACACCATTTCAGTAGGGCATTTCGTTTGGAACCACCATTTTTCACCAAAGCACTCAACGGATCTTTTCGCTCACCTATGCGTGTGGGTAGAAAAATTACATTAATTTCATTTTCATCAAATGGGATTTAAATTGCCCTTTTTTTTCTTCAAATACATACCCATAATGAATCCGTATTTTTGATTGGCATCCAAATTGTTGGATGTGTTTATCGTTTGGGTAGATTCAATTGCACTGCCACTGTTAACCTTTGATATCGTATTATTGCCATGGTTGTTGTTGTTATTTATGTGAGTACTGTTATTGTGATTGCCATCACAATTGAAATTAGGCGACTGTTTTTCCAACAACGGACTACGATTACTAGTTAGTGATGCGTGCAACTAGAGAAGGAAAATTGCGGGGGGGGGAAACGATTTTTTTCGATTGCATGATTATTATTGTATTGGTTATATTTGTATTGTACCTTAGATTGATCCACAATCATATTACTACTGTCACTGCTCCATTCACTGGTTGCATTCCTTGTGCTAGTCTGAAGAATTGGAGCGTCCGACATGAGACTGTTTATGCTAGATGACGAGCTATGTGAGTCACCCGTTTGACCATTTGACTTAACCTGAAAACCCCGGAAAATACGTTTCATTTCTCTTTCTAAATAATTCTACTGGTGAACAAAACAGAACGGTGCTCATTCTTACGTGTGTAGATGTTTTTTCAATGCTCTCAATTAAACTTTTGACTGATAACCGAGAGTCTTGACGTGAGATTCCAGCGCGTTGACGTCGTTGCGCCATTTCCTGCTGCATCACCGTACTCAATAACGATGTTTGTGATTCCTGTGCTGCCACAGCTATTGGACGACAATAATTTTATTAATTTCCTTACTTCCTCATCCATTCAATTATTCAAAATGTAAAATAATTTACCTTTACTTAGTCTCAGATTCTCTTGTTCAAGAGTGCGAATACGCTCCTTCTGTGTTTTATTATCAATGACCAATTGTTCGTGAGCCGTTTGAGCTTCGGTTTTAAAATCGTTGGCCACTCGGACGGTCATTAGTAGATCGGATTGAAATTGTTTCCATTCTTCATTTTCGAATTTCCGTAATTTTCGTTCATTGTTCAAAGCGTCTTCTTTTTCAGACAGAATTCGCTCCGTTTCACCCAAATGGCGTTGTGTTTCGGACAATAAACTCTCCAGCTGGGCTTTATCTTCCAAATGACACTTACACTGCACTTGCAATTCGGTGAGGTTTTCCTGTGCCGCTTGTAGCTCAAACGACAGCTTGGTTTTTTCCTGTTTCAACTGCTCGAATTTGTATTCCAGATCGGATAGTGCACATTTGGCATTGTTTCGAGTGACTTTACACTCTTCAGTCACGGCAGCAATTTGATCTTTCAATTTTTGTACCTCGCACTGGCTTTTCGATAATGATTCTTGCAATACCGTCATTTCACTCTCCAATAAATCCTTTTCCTTGCGCGCAACATCCAACAATTCACTCAAATCTGATTTATCGCCACCGGCTCGCTCCTGTTCAAACTCATCGATTTTGGATCGTGCGTTTTCCAACAATGTGGACAATCGACTGATTTCGATTTGACGTTGGCTACCCTCTTCGCGTGCTTGTGATAATTCAGCATCGGTTTGTTTGCGTTCAGCTGCGCTTGCATCCAATGTTGACTCCAACAAGCCAATTCGTTCGATAAGTCGTAATTTTTCGGCGGCCGCCGCTTCCAGCGCCGTTCTCATTTCTTTAATATCCGATTGTAATTCCTCGTGCTTGATAAACATACTTTCACGTTCCTCCTGTGCACTTTTCAATAGATCCAGCAGCTTTTGTTCACGTTCAGTGGTCATAACAGCATCCTGCTGATCTGATTCACGTAACAGTAATTCTGAAAATTTACAGATTATTAGTATAAAAATAACTTCTTTTTTTTATCACTAGACACTTATCAAAATAACAATAATAATAATAATGTAATATTTTTGCTTTATTCAAATCGTGTGGTTTTTTATCACATCACTTCGCACGAACAACTACTTACCCAATTTTTCTGTTTGACGACACAACGATTGAAACAGTACTTCTTTCTCGTCGATCAGACGATCGTTATCGGTTTGAAGTTCAGTCAGTTGTGATTGTAAATCGGCCAACTCTTGTAATGTTGCTTGTAATTCTTCGTTTGTTGAGTAGTGCGTCTCTTCCATCTATCGCGATTTATTGAGGTAGCACAAGTGCGCGCGCGGCAAAAAAAGTACCCCCCGATTAATTGTTCACATAGACCGTCATCATCATTATCATCGTCGTTGCCATTTGAGTGCACACACAGTGTATTTATAATGCACGCAACACATTTTTCCAAACCAACGAATAATTGGAGCAAAAAGCGCAATTGGGGAAAAAAAAGAAATTGTTCAGTTAAATTAAAAGAAGAAAAAAACGCATACACACACACACACACACACACGAAATAAAACAACGCACATCAGCAAATAAGACGAACGAAAAAAAAAACACTTGAACTGTTAGAAACACACAAATTGGATTAAAACCGAAGAAATTTAATTAAAATAACATTAACATTGCTGAATGAACGAATACACACAGCAAACACAGTAGCTGTGTAGGTCTAACAAAAAACAATTTTGTGCTGGTGAAAAGTTTGATATTGTTTTTGATCAATTGTGTGTGCTGACTTTGGTTTTCGGTTTCCTCTGTCTCACATTTTGTTTTGATTTAGCGTTTAAGTTGAGATTTTCCCTTTTCGCATTATAATTTGTCGCACAGTACACACTCAAGTGACAGTTGATAGCCGCTGTGTGTAGAATAAGAATAATTTGTGCACGTTGCGGTTTTGTGTTTGTTAAAGTGGATTTATGCACTGCTCCAAAGTTAACTTCGATTATTTTTCACAATTCGCATCCTACAATTGATTCTCCGATTCTCGTTCGATGTGTTCTTTTTCTTCATCAACAAATATTCAGTTGTGCGTGCACCGAAGTGAACCGTACACACAAACATACACACAAACACCAAAATTCAATTTCACAAAATAATCATTATATTTAATTTCTAATTACTGAGCATGGATGCTGAAAAGGCCACGGTGAATTTTGTACACATTTATAAATGGGACTGCGTATCGAATGCATTTTAATCATCCAACCAACCAAACATCATCACCACCACTAAAAATAAACAATAAACACAACGAAGACACTGGCTTTTGGTTCGTTGCCAGGGCTAAGATTATAGCGCGAAGATTTAAAATCAACGACAAAATAAAAAAAAAGTGCTCAACTCGTTGGAAATGGCAACAAACTAATCTGGTTGCTTTTGTCATTCATTTTGAAGAGCGAGACAATTATTTTGGATTTAGTGAACGGCACGCGAGTGACCGCATTTGAGAGTAGTGTTTCTTCTTTGACTCTAGCGAAAATTGCTGAATTGCAGTACGGAAAAAAAAACGAAAACAAATACAGCAACTTAAACATCGACACAACGCGGCGAAATAATTGTTTGTGTGTTTTATTTCTTTTTCGGCCGTTGTAATGGAAACTATGATCTGTAACGTATCGTGTGCAGTGTATTGTGCGTGCTTGTTGTTTGTTCTGCCTCACCAAAAAAGCGCACAATTTCTTCTTCTTCTATGTCTATTGACTAGATCGAGAGGAGAGTATGTGAAAAAATTCTAATATATTTTGAAAGAGGAGAGTATGCTTTCTGATGATTCTGTTGGCGTTAAAGTAGAGTATGTTGGAGTACCGTCTAGCCTCTGCGGTCTTCACGGTTTTCGCGTAACTGATAGGAGATTACAACATGGTGTCTTCGGCAAAGTTGTAGCACTCGAGGTCTTCTATAATATTGCTGAAGACATCTATCTCTTATCTCTTATCAGTTGCGCGCAAATCGCGCACATAAAAAAGCAAATTTTATATAGAACTTTTTTTTTCTTATCATTTTTCGCGCTTTTCGCGGAACTGATAAGAGATAAGAGATAACTGACTTCAGCAATGTTATAGAAGACCTCGATTGCTACAACTTTGCCGAAGACACCAAGTTGTTATCTCTTATCAGTTCCGCGGAAACCGTGGAAAACCGCGAGGACCCGCCAAAAATGAACATACTCGCCTTTAACCATTTTTGAGTCGAAAGAAACTTACTCTTCTCTTTCATAACAAAGTCAGATGAACTTACTCTCCTCTCGATCTAGTCAATAGATGTGTTGTTGTTGTTCTTTTTCTTCTTTCATCTTTATTTTGCACATTAAAATTAACTTAGAAGCCTGGTGCGTATGTGCACTTGCCGTGTTCTAATGAACATGTGAAGTGTGTATACGATACGAACGCGAATTGGAACAAACACAACTGTTAACGAATGTTACATTAGTCGCAGAGCATATCGTGTTCGGGCGCGAAATATTTAGTGACAGAATATTTTTGGACGATTTTTTTTCTCGATGGTTCTTAAAATAAAAGTGGCTCCGCACATGTTTCATCGTTACTGGTCCCAATTATTTTTTCGCACGGCCAATAGTTGTAATCTCATGAATCGTATTTATTTACAATATTTACATTAAACGTCTTCTATACGACACAAAACTCGAACAGATGCGCACTTTGTCGCTAGCTGTCGGTTTCTTTTCTTTTCAAATGTTTTTTGTTGTTGTTGTTTTTTATTGGTGCGATATTATTTCATGTGATCACATTGGAATTGCTTTTTTTCGAGCTTTGTATCGAACGACTATTCTCCTAATATCACCTGGGTGTGTGGATATCGTTTCGTTCACGCGATCTCAACACTCGCACATTTTAAACCACAAATCAAATCCTCGTTCGCACACATGTTAAACACATTAGATTTTTTAGGCGTTAACGAATTTGCATGCAATTTTCGTCTCCTATTATGTGTCTTTGCTATTCATAAGTTCTAATTAGCTTCTTTTTTTTCAGTTCATGTGTCATATCAGTCGCACGGAGTTCGCATTTATTGCCGACACACCGAATCATTTTATGGAGACAGTGAAGAAATTATTTTTGGCTCATGGGCCTTATTAGATATATATATACTTCTTCGGTTATAGTTGTGTGTATGGTGATGTTTCTGCATGCTCTACAATTTTGTATCAATTGTGAACCGTCATTCAATTTATTAGCATTGCGGATCGTTATCATTGAAATATGAAGAATGAAAACACCTTTTGTTTCGGCTAATCGCAATCGAATAGCGATTTGATAAATGAAAAGAACTCCAAATCGATCCTCGGCCGATATGTTCTCCTAAATGGCGAACGGCTATCATTTTCGGTTCATCCAATTTGTGCATTACGATAAAAAAAAAGAAATAAAACGCCGTGCAATTATACCTGAATAATTTTATCTTGTAAGCATGCCACCGAAACTTCGCTACTCGATGAATGCTTGTCCCAATCGGGAGTTGTAATGCACGATGATCCTTCGCCATCATTCTATGAATAAAACAAAAAAAATTGGTTTTAGTAAAAAATGCGGCCGTTGTCTCTTTGTAATTGATTACTTACATTTGGTAAAGCTATAGATGCCGGTGCCGAGCTGTGCAAACGGTGCTGAGAATCATCGATAATTTGCTGCTTCTCGGCATCAGATAAAGGTGAGTTTACGACATCTCGTAAACGGTTTCGTAACGATTCATTTTCTTCGATCAATTGTTGACTCTCTCTGATTGCTTTATCATAGTTTACCTAGAACAAACACAAAACACACATGCAAAGTGGAAATGAAGATAAAATATTAAGTATCCGATGACATAAAATTTTAAACATAAAATTCTACAATACGTTTGTTTGTTCCTTCAAAAACTGTGAATTTTTTTTTGGCTAAAAGACCCATATAAATCTATGTTAATGTTGACACACCCGTCCGCGAAAAAAAATTGAAATGGAAAAGAATTTGCCCATTTCGAATCAATTCTATTCAAAAATTATTATTCATTTTGCTTCGTTGGAATACACATATTCAATTATTCTATGAATACAAATGAAATAAATCACATTGAAACGATGAAAAAAAAAGTCATTGGAAGTTGTCTGAATTATTAAGTGGGTGATATTTTAAATTAAATACAAGCGAATGCATTGATATTGAACGAAGACACGGATTGTTATCTATTATTTTCAATTCGGATACTCGGTCATTATTCAAATATCTCAATTATTTGATAAATGTATATATTCTGACAAAATAGTGGTGCCAATACAGCTCACTGGGTGGTCGGTTGTTTTTATTACTGGATGTAGAGAGTAAAATCGACAAGAATCGAAAGATTCATATTGTTAACATGATGAAAGAAAATTGCTAACGAAATCAAGTTTCTAGCAGAAGCTATAAAAAATCAAATAGCCAACAGTTCAATATGGCTTTGTGTCTCGATGTCACAAGCTCCCTAGATTTCAAAATGAATAGCTGACCGACTTGAACCAATGAATACCTGTAATTTCACTATTTCGCTTTGTAGCATCAACATTTCGCTTTTGTACGAAGACATTTCCATAATTTTGGCTTCGAGTGCCATTTTGTCACGTGTCACTTGTTCGAGATTCTCTTGTAGCTCATGAATGATTTGATGTTGCTGTAAATGGAAATAAAATGAAACCATTGATTAAATTCAAATTGCACTTGTCTTCAATTAATTCCTGTATCTTACCTGAATTTCATCGTGTCCATTAAAAGTATCTTCGGGTAGTTCATCGCTCAGTAAATCTCGCATGGAACTCGAATAGCAACTGCCACAACCATCATCGGGTCCGATTTCAGTGTCGCTATCTTTGAGTTCACCGGCCACCACTTTACCAATGCCGGTGGTTGTGTTTGAATTTGCACCAGTCGTTGCTACCGTTGTCGTCGAACCAATTATTAATTTATCGGGTGAATGTTCTGTCATCGGTATGGTCGTTTGATATGGATGGTGTTGCTCGTGATTGGTGGTAGTGGTGGCGGCGATATTGCGTGTGCGTCGTTTATTGTGTTGAGGTGTATTGGCCGGTGATGTGGATAATGCTGTTCCACTGTTGCCCACTGCAATCGATGAGTGTGATTTACTATTTGCTAGGCTGCTGATGAATCCGCTGGTACTTTCGCCGCCGCTACTTGTGCTATACAATTTCGTTGGGCTGGAACTATTTTTCAGATCGAGACTTTCATGCGATTCGCGAAACGTTGAATCGAAACGATCATTGGAACCGGTGTGTGGGACTTTTTTAAGTGTTGCTTTTGTTGATTTTGGTGTAGCTGCTGTTGCCGTAGACGATGATGATGCGGTCGATAATCCAATACTGTTGAGGCTTGATGTAGATGCGGCACCACGTATCTGGTTATTTGCATTCGATGACTGCTTCGAAGATCCAGACGGACCTTGTCCTCTACGAAACAACGATTTTAATTTGATCATTGCTCATTTAAGCGATAAATGTGAGTGTGTGTGTGTGTGTGTGTGTTTGTATGAATTTTCTTTCTATTCAGTTTGGATTCTGCAGCGTAGAACCAAAGTCACACGACTAACTGTGAGAGATGAAAAATCTACCAAATAATTGCGTTTGTTTTAGATGTGCAAATAAATCAAATTAGTTTTGGTGACAGTTTGATATTGCTGTTGTTATTTTTGTTCTGTTTTTTTTTTGCGTCACTTTACACACAGGCGTGCACACAGTGTTCTTGGTTAAAGAAAAATTTTTAATTTCTTTTATCCGATTGGGTCAATGTGTTCTATTTTTCACTTAAACCACCATTCTCATCCAATTCAATGGTCTTTTTTGCTCATCGACGTTGATTACCATGTTGATTATTTTAACACACTGATTTTTTTCTCTTTCTTTTTGTATTTGTTTCTTTATATAACTAATTTTTCTATTAAAAAAAAGAACGAAAATGTCCAAAATGATTTAATGAGTGGAAATTTATGTGTAGTTTCGCTCGACGAATTACTATAATTTAATAGTGATTTGTGATTTGGTTGTTGTTGTTGTTGTTGTTGTTGTTGTTGTTGTTGTTGTTGTTGT